CCGGCGCCGTCCGAGCGCGGAAATGTTGCGACAATAACCCGGCTGGGTTGCGCCGCGTGTTCCGTGCGTGAAACAATTATTGTGCGATGTGCACCGTCATGGTGCGGTGCTTTAGCGCATGCGAGTTTCCCTGGGGGGAGCGTGGTGCACTCGGGAATATTCGCGCACCCACCTTTCCCGTCGCAGTCGGCGCCGTCCGAGCGCGGAAATGTTGCGAGAATAACCCGGCTGCGTTGCGCCGCGCGTTCCGTGCGTGAAACAATTATTGTGCGATGTGCACCGTCATGGTGCGGTGCTTTAGCGCATGCGAGTTTCTCTGGGGGGAGCGTGGTGCACTCGGGAATATTCGCGCACCCACCTTTCCCGTCGCAGCCGGCGCCGTCCGAGCGCGGAAATGTTGCGACAATAACCCGGCTGGGTTGCGCCGCGTGTTCCGTGCGTGAAACAATTATTGTGCGATGTGCACCGTCATGGTGCGGTGCTTTAGCGCATGCGAGTTTCCCTGGGGGGAGCGTGGTGCACTCGGGAATATTCGCGCACCCACCTTTCCCGTCGCAGTCGGCGCCGTCCGAGCGCGGAAATGTTGCGAGAATAACCCGGCTGCGTTGCGCCGCGCGTTCCGTGCGTGAAACAATTATTGTGCGATGTGCACCGTCATGGTGCGGTGCTTTAGCGCATGCGAGTTTCTCTGGGGGGAGCGTGGTGCACTCGGGAATATTCGCGCACCCACCTTTCCCGTCGCAGCCGGCGCCGTCCGAGCGCGGAAATGTTGCGACAATAACCCGGCTGGGTTGCGCCGCGTGTTCCGTGCGTGAAACAATTATTGTGCGATGTGCACCGTCATGGTGCGGTGCTTTAGCGCATGCGAGTTTCCCTGGGGGGAGCGTGGTGCACTCGGGAATATTCGCGCACCCACCTTTCCCGTCGCAGTCGGCGCCGTCCGAGCGCGGAAATGTTGCGACAATAACCCGGCTGGGTTGCGCCGCGTGTTCCGTGCGTGAAACAATTATTGTGCGATGTGCACCGTCATGGTGCGGTGCTTTAGCGCATGCGAGTTTCCCTGGGGGGAGCGTGGCGCACTCGGGAATATTCGCGCACCCACCTTTCCCGTCGCAGTCGGCGCCGTCCGAGCGCGGAAATGTTGCGACAATAACCCGGCGGGGTTGCGCCGCGCGTTCCGTGCGTGAAACAATTATTGTGCGATGTGCACCGTCATGGTGCGGTGCTTTAGCGCATGCGAGTTTCCCTGGGGGGGGGCGTGGCGCACTCGGGAATATTGACTTGCTAAATGAATTGGGGCGGAAGAGGTGAAAAGAGAAAAGTTCAGCTTCCAGATGAAAGGCATGGAAACACAGAATGGAGTAGAGAAACATACACTATTATTTGGTGGCGCTTCGTGTGCCAAAATAAGTGAACAATGTTGTGTTTTTAGGGTGCGGTCCACTCCAGCGAGCGTGGAAACTGTTCGTGATTGACAAATGGGAGGTCTTGAAGGTCCTTTTCAGGATGGTGTTGTTCCAGTTGCTGCACAGGAATGGGATTCAGTAGCCATGTCTGATCCTCCTCGAAGGGTGTCTGGTCTATTTTGCCAGGGACCTGCTGCATGGGCCAGAGTTTATTCACATTGTAGATCGGTGTGGGCTCGGTCGGATGCGTGAACTGCTTGTCAAGGTATCTTGCTGTGTAGGCCATCCAGTCGCTTTCTGACTCCTTTTCTTTTGGTGTTGTCGGGAAGCGCGAGGTTGGGGTGTGGTACTCGTGCGGAAACTTGCTCGCGTTGGATGGGAGATCAGGGATGTTTTTGATTCCATAAGCCGCCTCCTCCGCAATGGTTCGCGTCATCAGCACATCTGTTGCAGCCTGCGAACGCAGCTGCGGTTCCAATAATCGCCTTGGCGCTTTCGCCTCTGCCGGGACACGCACAAAGCGAGCATGACTCAGATCGCTCTGCCCATCATTTGCCTTTTTAAGAGCCTCCTCACTACACCGCAGACGCTGTGCAATGGTGGCGAATGTGTCACCGGCGAACACAAGCTCGACTGGGCTGAACTCCGTTTCAGCGGTTGACACCCAGCACGAGAGCGGGACGTTCAGCTCTGTGACGGATGGGCCAAACTCGCCTTCGCCATTCTCGCCAGTCTGCTTGTACGTCAGTGCAGCGTGGCCATTTGCCTGCTGTAGCTCTTCCACGGTGCAATCAAGGACAGTCGCGGCATCTTCCCAGGTGCGGATGCGTTTTCCATTGTTGGGGTTCTGAAGTGGCAGCACACGTGGGGCTGCACCGAAGCTTGTGAGTCTACGGGAGGCTCCGCCGGGAACGTTAAGAACCGCACCTGCCTCGAGTTCCTCGATCGCCGGGTTCGCCTCCTTGAGATCATCCACGCTGCAGCCTAGTCGCTGCGCCACCCGTTCCCAATCGTCACCCTCCAATACCCTTGCCACGCTGAGACGATTCACCGGGGCGCTTTGCCAATCAAGGGCAAAGGAGAACATGCGGTGGTGGTCATGCGTTGTGGGCGTGGCGGGGTCATGCTCGGTGGGGAATACAGAGCCATCATGAATAACGTTCTTCCTATAAATGGTGTGAAACTCGCACGTGGTCTGTCGATGTAACCAGTGCCTTATATCGTACATACGTTTTTCAAATTCGGTACTCTGAAAAGGCAGCTTGCAGATGATTACACGGAAATATTTCCTGAATTCGTAATGGGCTGTCGACATCTCAAGTTCTGTAAAGGAGGTGTCGGATGAGGAAGTCCAGAACTCCGCCATCCGCACCCACGGCTCCAGTTTTTCCACGTACGGCCATGACACCTGCGGGTCGTATATATTCGTGGCGCCTGGCACAGGCACATTGCAGCGGTTTATAACGTTCAAACACTGTTCCTCTAATCGTTTCAGGTCGGCCCGCACAAAGTTTGCCACCTCCTCTGCGTCGTACTCGTCGGGGCGACCAAAGGGGCCCGCACGGGCGGCATTAAAGAAGTCGATCAGCTCCGGATCGAATGCACCGCCTGTAAGTCCTTCCATGACGCGCCGCACCGCGACAAGTTTCTCCTCGGTGACTTGACGACCCACATCCCGTAGAAACATGCAGACATCTTCCGCCAGCTTCATCACGTGATGGTCCCAGAAACCCTCAAGAACAATTTTGTACGTCACCTCGGAGCCATGGATTCCATCTTCCTCCGTGTTCTCAAAGACGAAGCGCTTGTTTCTCACTTTGGCCACCTCATACTCGTACCAGTCTTCTGTCTTCCAACAAAACGGGAACTGACTTCGGTCCACGGGGATGTTGCCAGCGCATGGCAACGGGGTCTCTGAGCGACCCACGTCACGTTGCACTTGCATTGGACTCAAAACGCGTGCATGCTGATGTTTCTCCCGCACCGCACGGTCCATGATCGTCTCGAGTGTGGGCGGTGGTGTGGTCCTATTTGCTTCATTCATCTTTGTGAGGTAGGCATCCCGAAAGGGGAACCCTTTTTGTCCTTTTCCCTGGGACTTACGCGGGTCGTAGCGGGCAAACTGTCGCATGTACTCCACGTACTCCCTACCCTTGGCATCAAACTCGTTGTACGGACGGAAGCGATAGGCATTGGGTGGGGCACTTGCGCTCCACGGTCGGTAGTCGCCAAGGTGGTGTGTCATGGATGTGCACACGTACCAACTGTCGACATACTGATCTTCCGGCACATCCGGCCGCACCAGGGGGCCGCGGATACTCAATGGGAACTTGTCGTCGATAGGATCAATGAACTCATTTGTCTTTGTGCTGTTCATGTTTTGCGGCGCGGCAATGGGGGCAGGACCATCAAACTTCGGCATCTGCGTTGGCATACGGTAACGCGACCAGTAGTAATGATTCACAATTCCCCTACGCATCACTCTCCCTCAACTCTACCCGTTCTCCTTTGTAATGTATTTGTCTATCGACGTGCCAATGTATTTTTCCTCGTGCTCCTTCCACCCCACCCCCAACTTTGTTCTTTTTTTTTTTTTTATTTTTTAAATTTCTTTAGCACATATGAGTCGATGCCCACAAAGCAAAACAACAACAAAAAAAAAAAAGGGCAGATAAATACAGGAGGGGAAGCATGCCTTCGTAAATGCAAAAAATGCTCCACGTGGGTGTCAAGCCTTTTCTCTCACTGTTTGTCTATCGATTCATTTCCTGCGGATCCCATACACTGGTCCCACAGCACCATGAAAGGATAGATACATGCATGCACACACATATACCACACATAGGAAAAAACAAAAAGAAAAACAACAAAAACGCCTCATTTATTTATTCTCTCCGGTTGGTTTATACGCCGCCGCCTCGTGCCGCGGGGTTTGTTTTTAAATCCAAGACCCATCCAAACTGTCGTATGAACTCCTCCTTGGCACGGCAGCTGGCGGTATCTACGGGAGCCCGCAGGGCCTCCGCTGCCTCCGCCTCCTCCACAGTACGAAATACGGAAAACCACAAGAGACCATCCGCCACACCGCGAATGAGAGCTAATTTGCCGTTCCGCAGACTCTTTGTGAAGTGCACAATTTCCCCCGGGTGAAACCCAAAGCCAGTGTCATGCGTTGTGTCTAGCGTGATTTTGTCCCCAGACTTCGTTGTTGCTTCCATTATATTCCAAATGGCCTCTTTCCTTGTTTATACAAATGGAATTAAAAGAAGAAGAACGGCACATGAGTTGGATACGTATGCATCGTAAACACACGCGCAATGCCCTCCCCTTCCCTTTTTCTTCAATTCGCTGTTCCCCTCCCCGCTCCAGAGGCGTCTTCTAAGCATTTCATTCTCCCCCCTCCACTCTTCTCCACGAGGAGGAGAAAAACAACAACAACAAAAACTCAATAACAATTCTTACTTCCTAACACACACATGAATGCACAGAGTGAGAGAGATAGTGGCAGTAATACTAAGCATAAGAAAGATCAGAGCGACGGTATCAGATCCCACCATAGTGCTTCTGGCACCGATATTCCCACGCCAAAAGCTCATCACGTGCAATTCGTACCGTGAGTCATTGTGCAACCGCATCCAATCCCTGTCCTGTTCCCACGTCGCACCCCAGTCGCCGTGGGGGATGCGCAGCGACTTTGGCACCGCTGGAGACCGTGCGACGTCTGTCCAGCCGATGCGATGAAGCGCCGCCTCAATGGCTGCTTGTGTGTCGGTGATTCGGCTGTTCGCCATTTCGCCCACGCTGTAGTCTGGCGCCATAAACTCCGCTACATCGTTTGGCGCGGAGAGAAATTTGCATTGCAAATTCTCCGTAAAGCATCCCCACAGCTGCTCCACAAGACTGCGATTTACCGACGTTACGGGAGGGGTCTCAGCTGCGTTTTGCGTGGGAGGGAGTAGCACACGCAGCATGACATCAGCCGCCTCCGCAACAGACGCTGGGCGAAGTGCGGAGTGCTCCGCCGTCTTATCAACGACAGTAAAAACGTCAGGATTTGCAAATGTCGTGTTGTACCGAGTAAGTGTGAGGAACACTTTTTCGCCCGCCATCACCGCAGGGAGAAGATCCAACAACGTTGTGATGGGGGAGTACGGCAGACGTGTGGTGGAGGCTCGGCGGACGCCACTCTTTTCCATTTCCAGCTCCGCCTTTTGCTGCTGCGCCGATCCCGTCTTCCCCACACGGCTGTCGACATGGTAATACAGTGGGGCGTCTTGGTAGGCTACCTGATCCACAACAAGAAACGTATCGATGGCGTTGAAATCCACCGTAGTAAAGTTCAGTTTTTCTTTGTATGCCAGCGCTGTGCAGTTGCTGAGGCCGGCGTGGACACACTCCAGCATCGTCGCGTCGGAGATGAAGCGGGCACTCCCGACACTGCCCACGTGCTCGCCAGGGAAAAAAAAGGCGTACACATCGCGGCTGTCATCCCCACCCACGCGCCGCAGTGCCTCCAGTACCGACAATGTTGCCACGATGGCGCTGGCGGGGCAGTCCGCACCAGGAGTTGCATCCTGGACAAGCGATACTGCGGTAGAAGCCACCAGCAATGCAACGGCACCTTTCCGCGTCTTCTTTTCAAAGTTCAATGAAGTTTCGTTCCACTCCCACCGCATGTCAGCGGTGCTCGTCCACACAGTCCAGCCGCTCAAAGGAACACATGATGGCGAGGGGCCCTCCAAGCAACTTCGCACCCTCGTGGGTGACGATAATAACTCCGCAAGTGACATGCCATTTCGTGTCTCCAATACATTCTGCGGGTACCTGCGGCCCTCAGCCCAGTGAATACGGTTGAACCCGGCAGCATTCATAAGAGCCGTCCAGTCACTATTTGCTGGGCCACTGCTGCTGGTAGCGGCACTGGGAAAGTAGAGGATAACAAAGTCATACACGCTCCTCACTTCGCGAGGAAGCAACAACTCCTCACCGCTGCGGCGATCACCAGAGAAACGACAACATCTGTTGTCGTCCGAAAATGCCACTGCTGTAATGGGTGGCATCAAACCCTGCGTATGTTTATTTGCTACCGCATTGTAGTGCTGCACAGCAGCCAGAAAACATGTCATGTCATACTGAGTATTCGTTTTCACCCTGTTTTCCCTCCCTCCCTCCTCATAGTCGTCCTTGTCACGTGTCGACAAGACGAGTCCAATGCCACTTGAGAAGACTGTATCAGGAATTGAGAGCCCGCGAATAATATCTTGCAGTGACGGTGCGTTATCCTCGCAGCCATCCATCGATGCCTGCGCCACTTCGGTCGCATGGAGGAGGAGAAGGCCATGCGGTGCGACGGCGTTGTCAGCGATACTGCAGCCCCTGTACGCAACGGAGTTGTTGCTCTGGTCATCACTTTTCACTGCCATAAACACCGCCTTCATGATGCAGGGACGCACTATTGGGTAGTTGCGAAAGTAGGCTGCGTACGCTGCATCATGTGGTGCAGGCGGGATATCACCAGAAAAGCCCCTTTCTGCAGTGGCGCCACATGTCATGAGCCACGCAGCAATCCACAACACAAAGATCGACGTCCACTCGGTGGGTCCACGTGGACACCCGCCCATACAAACCATTCGTCTCCGCAACATTCGCTTTATACGCAACCTACTTTTGACTCGTCAAAGAAGAAGAAAGAAAGTGAGAGATAGATAGTAGAGTAGAAGATCTTCCTCTCAAACAAACATATATACATACGGGAAGGGAAAGAGAGAAATAAAAGAATAAGGAAAATCTCACGGTGTGGAGGGCGTTAGTGGATCGGATTCCTTTATCTTGGTGGCTGAAATATTGTCCGCAACGATGCATGGGATGCAAGAGCTGCTGTTGGCGTCTCACTCGTCCAGTCGTGCCTGTTTGTGGACCAAACATCGTCAGGGATCGCCCGCGGTGCACACCTGTACAAGGCACAATCAGGGTCAAAGCACTTTTGCACCCACACGCGCTGCTGCAGGTCGACGGTGATGTAGACATTGTTCGAGAGGTGCTGCCGTCCCACGTTACTGCAGTAGCGTGACCCATCGAGCAGAAAAAACAGGTACCGTCCACCGCGTTGACGCACACTACTCACTCGGCAAGGAACCCCACCAACAATGCTCCATTCCCGTGCCACGTGCTCCGCCAGGGCGCCATAGCGCGCTCTATCGACGTCCTTCGTTAACTGAGTCTCTTCGCTGCCGTATTTGCAACCCTCATTTGATGAAACCGCTCCAAAGGTGCTAATAGTTGGTGCCGGAACTAAAATCACTTCCCGGTGCCCCACCTGCAGGGTCACAAGAGAGTCGAAAAAGAGTGCCACTCTGTCCGCCGTCGTCGGGATTGTTCCAGTGGGGAAGTTGGCGGAAACATTTCGCTCCACCGTGAGAATGCTTCTCTTGTGCAGCTTACAACTCCAGAGGCAGCGCAGCATGCGGTTTCGACTGTACACGGCGGTGTCAATGACGCACCGAAGTGGAAGAAAAGGCAGGTGTCGTGAGGGCTGAGACGGAGGCAGAACGGCAAAATCCTTCGGTGTATCATGGTAGAAGAGTGCGACGTGCACACAAGGGTCCGCTACCGCCCGCTCGTACAAGTACTCCACAAATTGCCCCACAATTCGTCCGACGTCGGCGTTGCTGTTGAACCACTGTCCACCAAACTTCACAACGTAGTGCTGCGAGAACTTCCCACTTCGACCACCCTCCTTTTCCGTCGCGTCCAAAGACCGCATTACCATCACGTCTACGCCAGGCCCCAGCGCTGCTGCCGTACTGTTGTCATCAGTCGGAAGAACAGTATCATCCTCATCTTCAAAGGCACCATGATTCTCCGAGTCACGTGATTTCACCAATGCAGGGTATGTGCTGCAAAGAAACCGGCGGAGCTCTGTAAGCAGTACCGTCGTCGTCTCACTGTTGTCAGCGCGCAGTCGGCAGTTCCACGCACAACAACGCGGCGGTTTCCATAGGGCTGTTGACAAGGCCGCCGAATACTCCTCTGCCCTCCGGCACTCGTATATAACCCTGTCCTCCTCACTGTCGTCATCCACAACGCTTACGACGGGAAGCCATGCGGAGTAATCCTTCTCGCGCTCGACGTCAAGGTACATGTGACATGGCGCTCCCTCGCGTATCACCTCATACAAGTGCTGCTGCAGTGGCTCAATCTCTCGCACCACACGCGCCAGACCATTGACGGTTGCCGCAAGAAACATTCTCGTCTGCGAGGAGAGCGGCGTGACGCCATAAAACACCGCGTAATCTTCCCGGAGCACCACCCGACGCTGACGTTTCCCCTCGCACAAATATTTGGCCTCATCGTCAGTCTTCCGCGTATCCTCCCCATGCGTGCTCAAAGGCCGTTTGCGGAAAAGCCTGCCACGTGCACCACCGCTACCGGAATGAGTGGGGATCGCCGCCGCAGATGCGCGGAGCGACCGCGACGCCA